TCGCCATTGCCGTCACCACGATCGATATTGCCGTCGCTACTATCGTCATTACCGTCGTCACCATTGTCGTCGTCGTCGAGGTTGTTGCTATCGTAATTATTATAGCGCTGGCGCCGTCTTCCCTATTGTTCGCTAATTCGAGGTGCTAATATGGTTTCTTCAACCTATGTAAAAGTGTGTCAGTTAATGGATAAGCTATCCATATCTATTTGCAGTTTTTCTTTAAAATGATAAACAAGTATGTACATCAAACCTAAAAAGTACTTAAAAACGTTGTTGTTTAAAGAATTTTTCGATAATAAATTCTGCAATTTCACCTTAGCCTCGCACTGTCTTGGTTTTCTTCATACGCTCCTTCCTATGGAATATTCTTTGACAAACACTCCGACCCTTAATTCGCAATACTTCCTTAATTTCCCTACCTTCGTTTTGCTTATGCCGGTCGCTTATTTATAAGCTATATTGTCTGCCTACGTAAGAGGTCTAAAACTTCCGCAAACCTCCTTGCTCAGTAGCTGGTATGATTTGCAGTTTTCTGTTTATAATCATATGATATATTATATCGGCATATTTCACCCTGACGTTTATCCTGAAGGTTACGTGTCATAATTACGCATCGCAGTCTTAAACCACATAGTCAGTCCTCCCCTTAGTACGACACTTATGAACTTTGTTGGTGAAGAATCTCTTTTCAAGACATCCCACACAGCTACTTGACTGGCCATTAGACGCCGCGTCGTATGCACAGCTGTCCACGTTTCGCCCACCATTCTGCGATCTTCCTCAGGGCAAACGGCATTTCGCTCATACTCAACGTACACTTTTCTTTTACATAGATGGCTCTGCTTGGATTTAAACCATTCTCCAAAACGACGGTATTTCAGATACGTAACGTTTCTTGTGCACCGACGATTACAACACCTCCACATCCACCTTATTTCCCCACCGCGTGTTTCCAGCTCCGAGATTGTCTGCGTCATCTCAGTCTCTTTCATAGCGACGTGGACGCAAGCGCACGTTTTTCTGCGACGAGGGCGCGAGGACCCCACACCTCCTCTGGGGGCAGCTCCTCCTTCCCCCCCCCCCCGCTGACTACAATTTCGTGGAAGCGCCCCAGGATGTCGTTCGGGGGTGGACGCGCCCGCTGCAAGCGTTCTCGAGACCTCGCTCTTCATTTGCGCGAAGAAAGCGCCACTTGGAATGTCACGGCACGCGCCTCACATCGCCAAGGCAATTTCATTACACGAAGTAGAGCAGAAGCAACTGGCATATCTGAATGTTACTGCGTTCCGCCTCAACACACCACGTCACATTTCCCTGTGACTGCGTGTATTATCTTAATAATACCAGTAGTTTATTAAATTAATATACTAGTGTGTATGCAGCGCACCCACTAATTAAAACTGCTAGGAATGTTTGAATGTAATTTTCTGAAACCGAATTAAATTTCATGCATGGCATCAAAATAAACGCTAATGAAACTTGAAAATATTAAATAAAGCACCAAAATGACGACGTCATGGCTATGAGTTGCGAATTAGTTTTTATATACTTCTTAAATGACAGTGCAAAAATACGTTTCAAAATAAATTGAGCATTTTTGCTTCCGCATTTTGGATACCAACGGAGGTAATGAAGTTAGAACAAATGACGTATCAACTGCTTTGAGAGTGTAGAAACGGCAAAAATTGATCCCAGACAATTGTTGTAATATATTCCCTTTAACAATAATATTTATCTCAATTTCTTATTTTTAAAAAGCTTGTTTGATTGTTGAACTTTAATAAGCTTTTTTTTCAATAAATATGATTCTTTGTCACCTTTGTCATGATTTTTCTTGCACATATCTGCAGGTTATTGTTATTGTTAGTTATTTTTGTTATTATAATAATAATTATTATTAATTATTTCATTACTTGAAACACCAAATATAAAAGGTTGCCCAAAACATTCTTACTATGTTCTCGTAATTTGAAAGAAAAAATTACTTAACTACCATTGTTACGTAGGATTATATATTATGATGGATCATGGCAGGTTCATATTTGAAGTAACAGCAACAGATGAGTTAGGTGGTACTCAGGGTGAAGTAATAAGAAACATGCAAAATACCAAAGAGTCAATATATAATCAAAAGGGACGAGTAGATGAACAAGGAGGAAATACATCAGATTGACTACGATTTTGCTTCAATCGACGTTGCTTCCTCTTGGTCGGTCAATCTCATGCACTAAAATCATGCGACAGAAAAGAACATCGTGACTTTTTCGAACTATCAGCACCTTCATGATTCACTCTCCGAAATAAAAGACGCGTTGCGGGTAGTCGCTGATATCGCCACCCGGGCTCCAACCGGGTGGAGGGGGGGGTGTGGCGCGCCGAAGCAATTAAGCCAATACGCCACTAATGAGGGCGAAATGCGCTCGCCGCTTCTCAATCTGGCTGCGCGGCGTTGCTCGCGCTCATCACGCGCTGGTTATTGAAAATTCCCCTCGTCGCCTCGCTCTGCGCCACCCCGTGCCGTCCCTCACCAACATATCCCGTACCTGTTCGTTGCTTCTCGCCCATGCGTGGACCTACCTGTTCCGTCCCAACCCATTGCCTTCTCCTTCCCGTTCCACCCAGCCTCGTTCCGTATCATTCCACTTTGTCAAAAACCTTCCTATCCTATTTTGGCTTGTCCAGACCAATTTCATTCTGTCTTTCATTGGCCTTCAATTCACTGTCCTTTCTCATCCTGTCCTGTGCCGTCCCTTCTGGTTCCGTGCCAATTTCATCTTGCCCCTGTCCATCCCTCCCTGTCCCTGCACATCTCATCCTGTCCCTGAACATCTCATCCTGCCCCTGTCCATCCCTCCCTGTCCCTGCACATCTCATCCTGTCCCTGAACATCTCATCCTGTCCCTGCCCATCCCATCCTGTCCCTGCTTATCTCATCCCGTCCCTACCCATCGCATCCTGTTCTCCTGTCCATGCACATCTCATCCTGTCTCTGAACATCTCTTCCTGTCCCTGCCCATCCCATCCTGTCCCTGCGTATATCATCCCGTCCCCACCCATCGCATGCTGTTCTGTCCCGACCCATCCCATCTAGTCCTGACCCATCTCATTCTACCCCGTCCCAATTTTCCCTGTCTAATGCATTGTCTATTACCTCCCGACTTGTCTCTATTCGTCCCTTGCTCTCCAGTCCTTTGCTCTCTGTTCTCCGCCACGCCTCTTCCCCCTCCTCTTCCAAGTCCCTGCCCATTCCTCTCCATGTCCACTCAGCCTTACGGCCCTGCTCCTCCCCCTCCTCTCCTCTCCTCTCCTCTCCTTCCCACCCCGCCACCCCACCTCATCCCTCTCCGTGAGTTGGAGAGTCCGTCGTCCTGGAAGCTTTCAATTCGCTTTCCCGGCCCCTTTTTTTCCGCCTGCTCCTCTCGCGCCAACTTCATTACAGGTAATTCGTTGATGCGCGCTTTCGCCGCCCGGCGCGCTGCGGTCGGCTCACCGCGTCCGATGTTTCGCGTTCGTTCCCCATCCCTGCCTCCCTCCTCCCACATCCCTCTTTTTTCCCAACATGCTTAAACATGACGCAGCTTGGACGGTCAGCGCACCTGCCGTGCCAGACGCACACTACCGGCGGGTACGCCCATAGTTCTGGATGGCACATTCTCCCGACCAACCCCAATTTATCAATAAAGGTATTGAAACATGTCGAGTTCAAATAATTTGAATTATTCTCATCATTCGTCAACCACAAACAATCTACTTACTTATCTGAATATTCCACCACCTTCATTCTCGAAGTTCCTGAAGGGCAATAGCTGGACGGAGTAGCAACTTCAGGACAGGAGAAGAGCTCAAATTTAAACACAAAGGAAGGGGACTGTTTCCCACGTCTGTAATGCATTATGTTACGTATTACGGAGTGCATGGAATGGATCTTCATTTATTCTTCTGATATTTTCGTACGATTCTATCTTGTCTTTTCTTGAACAGCCGATGACCTCTAACTAGTAGTTCAAACATTGTGACCTCAAATCTTCTCGTAAATATATGAACCATTTTAAAGAATTTTTTATTTTTATTGTGTAAATACCTAATTATACAAATTCAGAATATCATAGTTCAACACATTTAATTAATTAAAAAAGTACTTTAGACTTGAGCACCTAAATCAAACGCCCGCACACTTTTATTTTCTTTCAAAATAATTTATTTTTTGAGCACGTTTTCGGAAAGGTAATATGGTATGTGTTGCAACATTTTCTGGTGGGTTGCTGTCTGGCATATACACGTATATCATTTATTACATTTTTGCTGAAAAACGTTTTTGAGAGAGATTGTTTATATAATATACTAAAATGTAATTATTAAGTGGTAGTTCTATTTGAAGGAAATTTTTTTACATGCATTCATACATTTCCACATTTCTTACTCTTCATGTTTACTACTCCACACACATTTTCCTACATTTTTAACTTCACAACAAAACTTAGACGTACTCCTTTATCATATTTCTATTAATAAATTAAAAAATAACTTGAAAACAAAAAAAGGCAGGCTCTAAAGGTTAATTGGATGATAGGAGATAAAGTAACTAAATCCTACCAAATTAAATCTTCCCTTTAGAATTAGAATGTGGAAATATTTCTCTTCAGTTATAGTCACGATTGCAATCGGAAGTATTAATGATAAAGATCCCCTCAACGAGGAAAAATTTTTATACCTGAAATTCTATTATAACCAATTGAAGACTAATTGGATATGCCACTTCACATTCCGCTAAAATAAAAGAGAGGTAAATATACGAGTGAAAGTAATTTATTTAAACATTAGTGAACTGAATTTATTGCATATTATTATAAATTATATTACATGGCAAATAATTATCTAATTTTTCAATGAGATTAATAAAATATATTGATACACCAATTTTCACTTTACCACAGTATGATATGCATTTACATATTATAAAGATATTGAATCAACACTGACAGTTTATACTGTGAATACTTTTTTCTTTCGTATTTCTCGGTAAATTTCTGATAAGTGATGATACAATATTTAGAAAAAATATATCAAAATAAATACAAATATATAAATCCTAGGATTGAACAATTTCTGACCTTGAAACGAATAAATTACAACACATTAGAGAACACGATTCTAATCTTAATAATTTCCTGTAATACTTTATTCCATTGTTTACAATCAACTTACGAAGTTCAATAGCATACAAAATATATATAAAAATAACGAAAGTTAAGTTCTAAAACAATTGGCAAACATTTCATACTGTCACTTCACTTTGTAGATCCATTCCAAGTTTGTTTTGGAGAACCAAACTTAAAACAAAACACACCTCTCCAATTCAATATTAGGTTCACTTTTGCCAATGCCAATATGTCATTGAGGAACACTAAACAAAAAATGGCAGCATTTCAAAGAAATATCGCGCTTCGAACTGCAAAATATAGGCGTTCTAACCAACCTGTTTCTACAGTCGTATCTACAAAACATTGGCAGTATTCGTCTTCACATTCACACCGAATTAGCGCCCTGTATTGGTATTTCCCAAAACGAACCCTCTTCTTCCTGTTGAACATTGATTTGCACGAAGGCTTCACTGAATCCGATCGAAACTTCTTTTTCTTCTTCAGAATGGATCTTGTAGGTGTAAGAAGTGCAGTACGTTCAGTCAGTGTAGAGGACGATGACGATGACGATGACGATGACGATGACGATGACGATGACGATGACGATGACGATGACGATGACAATGACGAAGACGGCGATGATGACGATGGCCTCCGGAAGTCGTACATTATCATACCACCAACAAATATGCCCAATACACTCCACTCCATGATGCAAATTTCACAATATTTTTGTATTTTCCAACGTACTGTTTGTTGAAATATTCTGAAAAATAACAAACAAATTAACCGAAATTAGTTTTTCCATTTTCTACACATCGGCGTAATACATCTGAGAGCTTCCAATGTAGAGAATACTGTTGCAAGTACCATTGTATCGTTTATTTTATTATTGTGTTGTTTTACTTTTTTGAGAATTTTCAAGCACGTTTTAACGTGTAGTACTACACATATAACACATATCCCCAGGATGTTTTCGCATTATTTGTGACTTTTTCGTAATAGTGTATTATTAGCAGAACCGTTAAAGAATTTCGCACACTTTAGCTCCAATAAACTATTTCAGAGACAGCAAACGATGGCTTCATTTCGGGAAATACAATAAAACATGTTGTATGGTTGATGTTTGGAGGTATTGTTTTGGATGGTTCAAAGTTGGTGGTTGGAAGTAAAATGATTCTAAATAAAGCCATTCGAAAAGATAATACTAGGTAGGTGAATCGTGTAGTGTTGAAAACAGATCGTTTTGTCGGAAAATCACAATGTAATGCAATCTTACAAACATTACGGACTAAAAATAATTTATCACCAGTGATTTGGCTTTTATTTCATTAGACGGGCAAAAGAAGTATAGCAAAGGCCCATCGTCCAGAAAATCAAGAGTCAAGAGTTTCGACAGCTCGAATGTCTCGACCTAACGAAAACCCCCGAACGCGCGAAGGATCACTTCGTTTTTGTCGATCGAGACACATCAACTTTTGAAACGCCAACATGGGGCTAATGGAGAAGCGAGACGCGACCGCGGCCGCCAAAGCGCGAACGCATTGTTTGCCCTCGCACTCCGCGCGCGTTCGATCGGCAGGACAAAGGCGCGCGTCGCGTAACGCCCACTCGCACGGCCGCGCGCGCACCCACGAGTCGCTGCGTTATTCATGTCGCCACCGCCAACGCCGCCGCCGCCGCGCGTCAGCACAAAAACGCACCGTCACGCGCGACGCATGCGGACGCTTGGCGTCGCGACGTCCTTTCCACGGCGCGCGCCACGGCCCCACGGCCAAGTCCGAAGCCGTGGAGGGGAGAGGCGCTGACGGCGAAGACAGGGTCGAGGGACAGGAGCAGGCCATGGCTGGGTACTGGTAGGCGGCGTTGGCAGGGGCGGAGGCAGGAGCGGGCCACGGCTGGATAGTGGCAGGAGGCGTTGGCAGGGGCGGAGGCAGGAACAGGCCATGGCTGGGTACTGGCAGGAGGCGTTGGCAGTGGTGGAGGCAGGAGCGGGCCGCGGCTGGATAGTGGCAGGAGGCGTTGGCAGTGGCGGAGGCAGGAGCGGGCCACGGCTGAGTGGCAGGAGGCGTTGGCAGTGGCGGAGGCAGGAGCGGGCCACGGCTGAGTGGCAGGAGGCGTTGGCAGTGGCGGAGGCAGGAGCGGGCCACAGCTGGTAGGGGCAGGGGACGGTGGCAGAAGCGGAGGAAGGAGCGGAGACAGGCAGAGGTAGTGACGAAGATAGGAGTATAGGGAGGGGAGAGGTAGGGGCGGAGGCAGAGACGAAGGTAGGAACGGCCGCATCGGTAGAGGGAGAGGCAGATGCAAGGAGGTGCAGGAGAATGAAGTGGAGAGGAGAGGAGTGATGGGAAAATGTGGGGCGGAAAGGAGAAGAAGAAGAAGAAGAAGAAGATGATGATGATGAAGGAGAAGAAGAAGAAGAAGAAGAAGAAGAAGAAGAAGAAGAAGAAGAAGAAGAAGAAGAAGAAGAAGAAGGCGAGAGGGGAATGCGGGGAGGGCCAGGACGAGGGGACGCGGCTTGGTTACGGAGTAGTCGGTGCGGCGGGGGGAGGAGGAGGGGTCCGGGTCGAGGGTGGGCGCGTCGATGCCCCGCACGTCGCAGCACGTCCGGGAGGTGCAGCGCGGCGCTCGCCTCGGCGTCGGCAGCGGAGCGGAGCGGGCGGGGACGTGACCTGGCGGTAGCGGGGGCGGCGGAACCAGTTCATTTCCATGAGGCACCGCCACTCGCTCCGCTGGAGGAGCAGGCCTCGCCCTCGCCCTCGCCACCGCTCGCAATACTCACTCTATTCGCACCATTTCACCATTTCTCGCCACTTCTAATATCCGTCCGTAATGTCGAACAGCCTTCGAACAAAATATTGTACCGATGACGTCACAGCTCTTAGTATTTTTTAAAGCTTTTACTTCCTATGAATAGCCTGTCATTTCCGCTTTTCGTCCAAAACACACTTTCAATTTTTTCTGCTCCTCGCTATGGGTAGAGCTCTTACTTCCCGCCCACACTACTCTCATCGAACAACTAATATTTCTAAGTGAGCAATTTTCAGCAATGTCTTATCACTCTATCTATTCTTGTTCTATTTCGTCTTGAGAGATTTAACTCTTATCATTCTTCGGTGCATTTTCTTTCCTTCGTAACTGATCCCATCTCCACCACCTATCTCAAAACTACTGCCTGTTTCCTCATCTACGCAAACTTCCTCACCTCATTACCTCTCGTCTTCCCATATTACAACCAGCTGGGCACTTTTATGTCAAACACTCTCTGGCGAAGCGGAAAGTATGTCGGGAATGGGCATAAGTCGCGGCGCGAAGTAGCGGGTTACGGTCTGAATACTGATTGATTAATTTTTAAAGATCGTTAACTATATTATTTAGTGCCTAAATGTAGTGCATGTTTCATGTCAGAAGATTATGGTGTTTCTCTGACGCTGGAACGAGAAATCCAGCGCTCACCTGCACGGCATGTACCAGAGTGTTGTGTACGGGAATTGGAGGGGGCTTGGATGACGAGGGAGGCAAAAGTAATGCTCGCTCTGCGGCCCGTTTGTTAAAATACTGCTCCGCTATTCACAGAATAACACCGATCACAGTAGCCGTCGCTTGGAATTCTCCACAAAACAACGATTGAATTCAACATACGCTATGCAGCAAGAGTAGAAAATCTGCAACTAACGGCTCTAGAACCCCTAAAGCCTTTCAGCCAGAGACGCTGTCCCGAGGTCCCGACCGAATCAAAGCGGAATGAAGTGTCGGGGCGGGACAGGGCAGGGCGAAGCGCGGTGTGGCAGGGAGGACGAGAAAAGTGTGGACCGGTACGGAGCGGGGGCGGGCGAGGCGTGGCAGGGAGTAGCGAGGCGGAGCGTGGCGGGGCTGGATGGGGCAGGGCTGGATGGGGCGGGGCTGGACAGCGAAACGCGGCGCAAAGTGCGAGTCACGGCGTGGAGCGCGTAGACGGGGCGTGCAGTGACGCGGGGAGTGGGCCGCAGCGCGGAGCGGTGTGGCGGAGCGCGGTGCGAGTCGAGAGGGCGGACGTGGTCGTTTGCGTGAGGTACGGCGCGAGGTGGAACCTCCCGCGTGGAATGGAAGGAGGACGATCGCGCTGCGCTGCCGAAGAGCGCCCTGATTGACGAGAGGGAGCCGGACGCGAAAATCGTTATTGAATGTCTGCGCAGTTCCCGTACGTTAATGGCACGTTTTATGACGGCGCCTCGATCGCATACATTATAATTCGGAAAGGTGAAGATGATTTCATTCCAGCATACGTACAATCACGTAGACGTACGAGTGGTGGGTCGCATGCAGTACGTATCGCATTAATAATACAGCATTCAATTCACAGTTGAGAAGGAATCTGAACTTCTTTTTTTAGCGATTTATATCCACAAATAATAGTGTAAAGCAGAAAAAAATGTTGTAATGAAAAGAAACTGTCTTTTCTGATACAAACGAACATATTTTAATGTTTCATTGTTATGCCATATTATTTTATTATGAATTTAACAAAATTATTCAATTCAATATTTTTTGCAGAATATATTTCTTTCTTCACTTTACACAACGAAGACAAATACTAAAACAACCAATTTGAATTTTAAATAAGAAATATTACTAGAAATACTAATTGCTTTTCAGGTAATGATATTCACCCACTTAACAATTTTTTTCTTAGAACCCAAATGACACAAATAAGAGTTTATTTTGATACAAACATGTATCTTTCTGTCTGTCTGTCTCTCATAAAAATACTCAAAAATGTCAACAGAAGAAAATAACTCATCTCACGAATATATGTTGGGACGTAGTTCATCTCCTTTTTATAAACACATTTTATTTGAACTTATTCAAAAACATTCTGTGACTGGTTTTAATTTTTAATTTTGCTTCTGATCCTTTAAATAAATACTCGGAATAGAACATGCAGTTCTTGCGTATTAGTAACTACTCAATATTTCTTTGCTGACAACGATTATGAAACATTTCTTGACATTCCTCGAAGTTGAATGGTGTAAATTGTAATGACATTTCGAAGTATTTATCTTTTAAAAAAGTTCCCAATGAGACTCAAACGATCAATAACCAATATATAGTAAAGTGAGTTTAAGAAGGACATCCGTACATTCAAGAAACAAAATTATACCAACTGGCATATTTATATGAATATAAATTAAAATACAATTATCTCCTACATGTCAAACTCAGCTGCAGATAACCTTTTAACTTTTTAGTCAAATAAACCTTTACATTGGACTGAAAAGTTGAACAGTTTTACGAGTTGAACCAGCCAACAAACGTAATAGTTGATTGTCTATATAGTTGCATGTAAAAGCGGTATTGCTGTTCATAAGTAAATCCTCTTTATTGAGTTCAGAGAAATATATTTAAGTGTATATTGATTCAATTGACTAATAAACATAAACTATTCTTTTTAATTTATCAGTATGTTACGATTTTCTTTTAATTCAATTCTTCAATTTTTTGCTGTTTACTCTTTCTCCGATGGACTGTTTTTTTCTCTTGCTGTATTGCCTCCCTTCTTGTTCCAAGTAGTACGGCACCTCTCGTTTCACTTCCTCCCGCATAACTACTTTCCTCCTTTTTCATCTTTCCTTCCATACTCTTAACTAGTAACATACCGTCGTCTTTACTATTTTGTAGTTTTCTCTAACCACTATCTCTCAAACTATTTCCCCGCGACTCCCCAACGCTTCCCGAGCCTCGACCGTTCCCCTCTCCGACTTCTATTTCCCCTTAACGCCATCCCCT